TCCATAGACATGAATGGTGTTGGTGGGCTTGACTTGAAACCATATCAATTCCATTTCTTGTGCTGCTAAATGGGAAAGCTTTCTCATGGCTTCCCTCTGTAGAGTTAGCTTTTCTGAAAGCAACGATTTATCCTCAGAAATAATGAGAGAATGCTGGCTTTTGTGGAGGTGGAAAGCTAAATATGAGTGTAATACAAAGGCGGCAACTTTCATTTTGTTACTCATTTCCTCATGAGCATCTCTCACCCAGGTTCATGTTGGTATAGCTTTGCAGTTAACAGCTTGATCATGTTAGAGCTGGGTAAGATTTTTGTTTGGCATAATCTCTTTGCTGAAAAAATGCAGTCTTGAGGCAACCAAGTAAGTTTGTGAACATGGTTTGAATTTGGTAAATCATTTGGGCTATGCATAAATGTAGAGGAAATAGGAAAGGTAGTCATTTTTTTTACTTTTTGAAATTAAACATCTTTTTGTTCCAATGATTTTTAAACTGTCAATCATTAAAAAACAAAAACAAAGCAAAATAAGATGAAATATTTTTGGTTGAATGAAACATGACGCAAAATGACTTTTTTGGTTTGGACTGAGAGGTGAAAAATCCACTATTCACTGGGCTTTATGTGTTATTTTTGTCACCACTAGGGTGCATATCATAGCTTGCACTGCATATGGTCATGCTTTATAATACCAATAGCCATGGAAGAAAATAACTTGGCGGCCTTGTCCTGCTCTAGTTTAATTCTCATGGGAAATATTTTCCTCACTGCTGACAGCAAAGTCAGGCCTTAAAGCTGCAATTGTCTTTGTTGTGAGCTGAGTTTTCAGGGAAGTCTTTGATTCTCATTCAGAATTCTAATCATCCTGTTTAAGTCAGTGGAAACTTTCTAGGGCCAAAGATTAAATTTATCCCCTTGGAGACTATCTTCTCAAAACAAAGGAAGGGGTGTGTGTTGTTTTCATTCAGACAACTTGGTGATCCTAGGTTCCTAGGTTCAAGTGACCCTGAGGTCTGCATCAGATAAGGACCAAATTATGTAGTGATTTCACCCAGGGTACTGGAAGTGTAGCCACTTGGAAGATGTTGCAGCACTTGATGAAAAGAAACAAAGTGGGAAATATATGTGTGTGCATGTACACATACGTGTGCATGTATATGGGCACATGTATGGCTATAGGTATACATATGTATATGGCTGCATATGTGTATGTATATATATGTGGCTGTACGTGTGCATATATGCATGTAGATGCGCGCACACACGTTCCATGTTGCAGGGTTTTTGGTTGTAATGGTGTTGGTCTAAGGACATAGGCAGGCGAGGTTTGTTGAGTAGATATGATATCTTCTATTGGACTGAGTAGATCAGTATTACTCAGTTGATCTAATAAAAGATGCCACATCTATTCAAAGAACCTTGCCCGTGCACACAGACGCAGACATGCCACCCTAAGCCCGTGGACCCGGCTCTGCGCGCTCAGATGCAAGCCCGCCGGCGAGTGCGGAGCGCGGCGCAGCTCGGCGCACCTTGCCCCCGCCCAACCGCTCAGCGCTGCGGCGAGCCGATTGGCTGCAGCTCGCCCGCCCCGCCCGGGACCGCTGCGTAGCGTAGCATAGCGCAGCGCCGCCAGTCGCCGCGGGGCAGGGGTCGAGGGTGTCGGGGCTCGAGCAACATGGGCGGAGGGAGGAAACGGAGGAAGGAGGCGTGAGGAGCCGGTGCTGCCCTGCGCTGCCGGGGACGGGGCTGGGGTGCGGATTCTCAGCCCGAGCCACCATGTCGGACAAGATGTCCAGCTTCCTCTACATCGGCGACATCGTATCCCTCTACGCCGAGGGCTCCGTCAACGGCTTCATCAGCACGCTGGGGTAAGCGGGCCCCTGCCTTGCCGGGCGCAGGAAGCGGGCACAGGGCAGCA